AGAGAATGAGCAAGACCAAAGGAGAATGGCTGCCGCTGGATTATGGTGTTGGTGAAGAGCGCGGAATGCACCACAGACTGCTGGAAGAACAAACAGGTCTGTCTTGGAAGAGGTGCAACCAGAATGCTCCTTAGGAGCCGGGGTGATGAGACTTTGGACATGTTATCAGGAAAGACAAGTCTCTGGAAAAGGACATCATGCTGGGTAAAGTAAAGGGTTGACCTTAAAAGAGGAAGCTCCTCCAGGAGATGGATTGACACGGTGCCTGCAACAATGGGTTCAAACAGCAACAATGGGGAGGCTAGCGCAGGCCCGGGTAGGGCTTTGTTCCGGTCTACATAGAGTTGGAACTGATTCAGAGTACCCAACCACAGCCACAGCAATCAAGATACAAGTACATGCAAGGAATACACAGATTCTCATCTGTACAAGTATATCCATCCATGTAACCCATATGCCCTTAAGGGAGACAACATTTCTATTGCTCAAGAACATTCCCTGGGGTCCTTGTTGTCAATCCCCATGCACAGAAATGACCGCTGCTCTGATTTTTCCCACCACCATTCATTAGTTTTTCCTATTCATGAACTTCCTGTAACTAGAATCACACTTGTCATACTCCTTTATAGCTGATGTCTTTTGCTTTGAGATTCAACCATACTGTGTGCATATTAGTGATTCATTCCTTCTAATTGCCCAGCAGTCTGGAAGGCAGGGAGCCTCCCAGGAGTGCAGTGGTGAAAGTGGTTGAAGTACTTGGCTAATAACGGAAAGGTTGGTGGTTCAAATGCCCCCGCTGCTCTGCGGGAGAAATTGTATCAGTCTGATTCCATGCAGACAAGGGCCTCGGAAGTCTCCTCTGTTCTCTAGGGTCCCTCTGAGATGAAATAGACTGGATGGCAGGGAGGTGACCTGGTGCTGGCAGGGAAGAAAGGTGAGTGACAGGGATAGAACTCAGTCTCCCTTTACATCCTTGCCCTTAGATCTCTTCCAAGGAGAAGCCACGCCCTTAATGTGTCCCGTGCAACTACCCAACGGGCCTTCCCTGAGGCTCTGGTGAGCCTCGCGGTCATTGGCTCATCTAATGGAGATCGTACACAATTTCCACACCTCCCACTGCAGCTTCCTCCAGCTGCCTGCCCTCTTTCTATGGTGACTTTTGTTCCTTGACCCAAAATGTTAAACCTTCATGGGAGGAGGGTGGTGATAGATGTTGGTGCTTCAATGGGTCTGTGTCAGGAACTCTGGAATCTTCCTGGGGATCCAGGAGGCTGGGCATTGTCATATCATTATCCCTTCTTATGCTTTGCTTTTCCAATGTGACCCTGACATGCGCAAGGCCAGGATTAGGGACACGCAGCCCAAGGTCCAAAAGACTTGGGTCTGCTCTAGGGAAGCAGGGTTTGGAGCAGGGCTTCCAACTTTGTAGAGAACACAAGAAGCCAGATGGGAGGGGTAGAGGATGGCTCAACCCAAGGCTGTGAGTCTGTGAGGGGCCGATTCAAGGGAGACCAGATCTTATTCTGGGTGATGAGTCCTCTGGCTTTGGATCCCGTTGTCAGTGGAGTGCTTGGTTGGTGAGGGGGCCAGTGTCTTGGGAGAGGAGATGGCAGTACACAAGGTCAGGTATGGCCTGGAGTCCTCAGATGGTCCAGTCCTGTCAGATCAGGTGTGGGGATGTTGACTGTATGAACATGTCCAAGCTGCCTTGGCTCAAAATTGAGAAGTGAAGACACTCTAGCCAATTCACGATGTGATGGTGGCCCTATGAGCCCCCTTGAGTGGTGCTATGAGCATAGATGGTGCTAGGGTGTCGTTAACCCATTTTATATTAGGGTCATTGGAATAAGGAGACCAGCTCTGTATGTCATGGAGAAAGGAGTTTGGAATCTGGGAAGGATCAGGCTCAACTGTGCTATAGCTGGTGGCCCAGTGCCAAGGCCACTAAGTGGCTGCAGGAAGACATGTCCCCCAGTCTGGTGTGTGTGTGTGTGTGTGTGTGTGTGTGTTGCAGAAGGTGATGGCACATGAAGTGGCTTGTGAACTGTTCGAATCTACTACAAAGCAAAAGTCCATGCATGGTGACTATGCGAATTAAAACTTATAACAACTTCTTCACTGCTAGCAGCCATCTGGTTTATAGCTTCTGTGTGTGATATCATCCAAGGGCAGAAAGGCGGTGATAGTGAATCACACACCCTGGAGACTGTAGACAGCATGTTCATACTGTATCAATTTCATTCAGTCATCTCGCGGACCTTCTGTCTCTTTCACCCTCTAGTCCTGTATGGATGCTGCCATCCTCTGCATGAAATAGAAAGGATCTAAATGGCATTGTCCCTAAGCAGTCATGGGTTGGTGGCTGGTGTTCTTGTGTTTTTTTCCATGGCATGTGGCCATGACTTCTGGGCCATTCAAATAAGGGATGTCTCTTCCCATGCCCCCCACCCCCTTGGGCAGCCAGGCACACTTTCAGCCAGAGGGCAGTTCCACCTCCATGATGCTTGCTTGTCAGCCTCATGGTAAGGGCCACAGGGAGGTCATGTTTACTTCGCGTGGCCACTGATACTGAAGAGTGCCCTTCTGAGGGCTCACTCTCCTCCTTTCTCCTCTAACAGCCCAGCTTGTGTGGCCCCAAGCACACGGTGCCCCCAACATCCTTGTGAAGTTCATAGACATGAGCACTCAAGATTGTGTGTCTCATAATGAAGTATTACTTCCCAACCCCTAGGGACCCTATAGAACTACCCCTGTGGGTTTCTGAGGCGTTGAGTGTTTATAGGAGCAGAAAACTTCGTCTTTCTCCCTTAGAGACAGCTGATGGTTTCAAATTATTCTCCCAGCAGTTAGCAGTCCAAGACATAGCCCATTAAGCCACCAGGGCTTCATATTGAAATGTGCCCACAAAAATATGTGCCGGACTTAATTCTACCCCCGACTGAAGAGCAATGAGCTCTTGTGACAGGGCCCTGATTGATTCTTGACCTCATGAAAAGATCACTGAAGATACAAGTGATATAGAAAACTGTGGTGAAGAAACTGGATGGTGCCCGGCTATCAGAAAGAATAGCATCTGGAGGCTTAAAGGCTTGTTTTTAAATAAGCAGCCATCTATGTGAGGTGTCAACTAAGTCCACATGGAAGAAGCAAACCAGCCTGTGTGGTACAAGGATTGCAAGTCATATCATCCAAATCTGAAGGAGGGATGGCAGCAGAGCTTCAATTGTGAACATCGCGTTTGTAGAAGGCTAAGGAGGACAGTGGAAGCCCCAAACCCACTTGCAGTCTCCACACATGGATTAACCCTGCAGTGAGTCCCTCTGATCGCCGTTGAAGAATGTGAATAGCCCTGTTGTCAGACAGAGAGCACTGTGAAGTCGATGATGGCAGATGTAGTTTGGTGAAAATGTAATATCTTATCATTTGATCTCCCTTTAGAACCATTTTAAAGCTGTTTTTGGCTAAAAAAAAAAAAAAAGCGAAGGAGAAACACATGTGCATTAAGACCCTGAGGAATACCCACTGACCATGGACCAGGGATGTGACTAGCCTTGCTATCATGCAGTGCAAAATGGATTGTTGCAGATGCAGTTAGGTTAAAATTGAGTGGCCTATCATTTGGCGTCCCTTATGATCCATTCAAATTTGTACTCATTTCTAATGTCTGCTTTCTTTTCAATGGAGGTTTTTAATGTTTTACTTTGCTATTCTTGTGAGTTCTGTTTTTAATGTCTTTCTGTATATGAAATCCAGGATGGGTAAATGTACAGAGTCAGTAACTGGATCAAAGGTTCCTTGGGAGGAAGTGGCAATGGGTGTAAGAATGAAGAAATGTTCTCACACCGATTGTGGTGATGCTTCCACAACCCTTCTGGATGTGGTTGGGTTATCGAATTGTACGTGAATTACATGCCAATAGAACTGTTGGGGAGAAAGGAAGAAAGGCACTGGAATGCTCCTTCCTTTACTGGTGAATATGATCCCATTTGGAAGAGGGTTTGTTATTTTAATGCAGGACGATCAGGATAGGGTGTCCCTTGAAGTGGATCGCATCTGAGTTATAAAAGAGAGCAGAGCAGACACAGAGACAAGAAACGACCAATGGTGGAAGACAAATGTCACATGACTATCAGCACAGATCCACGGAGTCGAAGCGGAAAGAGACAAAGAACTAAGGAAGAGAAAACCTTTCCCAAGAGTCTGTGTCCTGAGTTCAGACTTCTAGCATCCTGAACTTCGGGAAAATAAATTTCAGGTTCCTAAAGCTACCCATTTGTGGCATTTTGGTCACAGTCACGCGAAGAAACTAAGACATTTGGAGTTTCCTCCTTTGGGAATTGAGCTAAATTTTGCTTCCTCATAACCCTCCTCCCTTCCACACCAGCCTTCCCTGGCCAGGGGCCGTCTCAAGCTTCACTGTGGAATTCTCCAGAACTTCTTCCTGCGGAGCCATGGTGGATCCTGATGGCCTTTCCGGAATTCCTGAGGGTAAATGTGGCGGAGAGCTTGGCACTCGTTCCTTTGAGGTTTTCATCTTGTTGCTCTGGTTGTTTGTCCCAACCCTTCATGACCTAATCAGCTTCCGATTCTGCAATCCGAGTTATCAGGGACTTCCTGCCAACTCTTCCCCCTACAGGTCCTCTACGACACAGATAAGGAATATGGATGGGCAGCTGTGTGCACAGCAGGCAGGCAACATGGATGGGCAGCTGTGTGCACAGCAGGCAGGCAACAGCATAGCCTCCTGCTCCTGGGGCATGTTTCTGGAGATCACCCTCCACCTCCGCATTTCCTCATGTCAGCGTGTGTTTGCACCCACCCAGGGGCTGCGCAGGAGGAAGACCTACCCAGCCGCTTCGGTCACGCTTCCAGGGATGGAAGGCCTACAGGGTCATTCTACTCCGCCCCGACAGGGGCTGTGAGTGAGCAAAGATTCAACAGGGCGTGAGGCGGGACCACCGGTGGGGGGGTTTTAACTCAGAGAGGAGTTAAACTGCAGAGAGGGGGTGGGAAGTCTTTATTTGGAAGAACTGTTGACATGGACATGGTTGAGGAAAAACATGAGAAGGAGTAAAAAGAAAACTAACCTATAAAGAGGATCTTCCCTAAAATATAGGCCAGATCACTGCTTTGAGGAAAAGGTTAGGGATTGTTTTTTAGTGAAAACACACGGCTCACGACTGAGAATATGGAGCCAGTCGGGGCCCAGGTTTGAGAGAATGACTGGAGGGAGGAAGAACCCCCCCCCCCAGCAAGGTAGCACCTTTAGTCTCAGAATCGGAGAGGACGCACACAAACCAGGTGCCAGCTTCGCTCTCTTCTCTGATCTCGCTCGGAGCTGTGAAGCTCTGCAGGGGCTGAGGGAGCCCAGGTCCAGGGTCTCTTAGGGGCGAGGGCTCGTCATGGTATCGACCCATCGAGATTTCTGGTTGAACAAGAACCCTCTCCATTTTGGTCTCACCCACAAGTGAATCAGCCCAATGGCTCGCGTGGGCCAAGGCATACAATCTGCCCGGCATGGAAATGACAGGTTAAGAGAAGGCTGGGGTGGGCCAGCAGAGGAACACTGAGCCATGAGGAGATGGGAGGGCTGGGGCGACCCACATTCCAGAAATTTAAAAAACAAGACCAAAATAATTTTTTAACGAGGGAGGCTTTGGGGGCATCTGACTGAGACCAGTCAGTGGAGTAGAAAGGAGATGGGAGCAATAGTTGGGGTGCCACTGATCTCCCGTGTGGGGGTGGGGGGTGGGTGGGCGGCTGGGAGGCTGGTGTGGGTCCTGGTTGAGAGGAGAGAGGTGGGCGTGGAGGGAGTAGAAGGGACAGCTATGCAGAACACATCCTGTCTCGGCATGGCTCTGCAGACATTTGCCAATCGAATGCGGGTCGGTGAGGAACATTCGCATCACGGCTCTGACTGCTGTCTTGCAGAGGGGTGGGGAGGACCCGGGAAGGGAGCCGGTGGTGGCAGGGGCACTAGCCCTGCGCCACCTTCCTGGACACGGTCTGGTAGAAGACGCCCCGCAGCAGGGCCTGGTAGCTGGGTATGCGGAACAGGTGCCGCTCCCCGAAGGCCACGTTGTACTCGGTCGTCTTGCCAGTGGCCAGCACGCGGATGTGGGGCTCGTTGACCTGGTGACCCACCACCACCACGAAGATCTCGATGCCCGCTCCCTGGGCCTCCTGCACGGCCTTCTCGATGGCGGCCTCGGTGACGCCCTGCGAGTTGCCGTCGGAGAACAGCAGCAGCCGCTTCTTGGTGGCATCCGACGAGGCCTCCCGGTAGAAGCGGGTGACGTAGCGCAGGGCGTCGGTGACGTCGGTGGCATCGTTGAGGAAGGCCATGCTGTCCACGCTGTTGGCCACCATGGCGTAGTTCTGCAGGAACTGGAGCGCCGAGAACGCCGGCCTCTGCTGGCCCTTGCCGCTGTACTGCATCACGGACACGCGCACGTCGTGCGCGGGGTCCTTGTTCTTGGCCGTCAGGAAGCGCTCAGCCAGGCGCTTGGCGAAATGCTTGGTGGTCTCAAAGTTGCGGCTGCCCACGCTGGCCGAGCCGTCCAGCAGGATGGCAATGTCGGTCGGGAAGGAGAAGGTGACTGTGGAGGAGGCAGCCATTAGTGTGGCCATGGGACTGTGCCGCAATCATGGGGAGTCTTAGCTACAGTGGACCGGCCAGACCTGGCCCTGCGTCACAGGCTGACCCAGGTTGTCATGCCCCAACCCCACCCAGGTTAGACCGCCCCCCTCAGCAGAGGACCTGCCAGTAGGCCCACTCCAGCCGCCCTGACTTGGGGTACTTACTTGGGCAGGTGTAATCTGGGCACTTCTTATCTGTGAGAGAAAAACACCATGTGACATGAGCCTGTGATCTGCCTGTCACTCCCTCCCTCGGGGGTCACCTACGCTAGGACATTTCCAGGTGGGGCACAGAGGTGACAGTTCACAAGTGACTCTCATGCTCGGGCCAACCTGTCTCTCGACGAATAGCATATCTTGGGATGATGGGCCGTCACCTGGTCAGAGCCCCCTTAGCAAAGATGGCCTCTGGAGAGACAACTATGCCCAGTGAGGTGCGTGGAGCAGAGCCTGGTCCCGTCCATGTACGGAGAAACCGAGGCTCGCCAGGGGACAGGGGTCCCGAAAGGTATACAGCACCAACGAGTGGCCCATGCTCTCAGGACAGACATCCAGGGGGGCCGTATCTAGGGTCCTGCTGTCTCCAGTGACACTCAGGTAGGGTGCCTGACCCCGGGTGGCCACTCTAAGTGTGGGCACACGTGTGTCTGAGCAAGGGCAGGCTCAGGTTGCCGGTTACGCACTTTGGTCTGGGTATGCATGTGTGGCCTGGGATTGAGGGTGGGGACATGGAGCAGACCCATAGCTCAGGGATCATCTGCGTTCTCGGGGAGGCTTCTAGACAGACACCTGTCTCTCCAGAGGAGAAGCCCATTCTCATGCCCAGGTGTCTGACTCATGGCCGAGGCTCAGCGTGCCCGACTGCGGTGGTGGCCCTGGATGCTATTACGTGGCGCCATTTTCCCAGCACAGTCAGGCTAGCTCAGGCCCCCACCCCGGTGCCCACCGAAGCAGATCTCAGCGGTCACGTTCTTCAGGAAGTTGTCTTCAAGCAGCTCCGCATAGTTATCCTTGACAAGCGAGATGCTGGGCCGGCGCTGGGATGACGCGCCGTGGCAGGCGATGATGTTCAGCTGGTCGGAGCTCGGCCTGGAGCCGAACAAGTCCATGACGCCCACAGAGACCACCTGCCGGGGAAGGGCAGCTCACACCTGGGTCGGGCCTCTCCTGCGGCCCAGACACACTCACACCAGGCTCCACGCACCCCTCCTCCCTGGCTTGGTTCAGGCCTTGCCCCTCGCCCCCGCGCCAGCAAGCCCCCCACCTGGATGTCTGGGCCGCAGAGCACGTTGAGGGGCGTGGTGTCCCTCTGGGTGTCTGAGCGCCCGTCGGTGATGACCAGGGCGATTCGGTCATTGGAGGACGCGGGCAGCAGCCGGTCCCGGGTGTACTGGAGGGCCTCGCCTGTGAACGTGCCCCCCCCCATCCACTGCAGCTTCTTGATGGCTCTGTGTGGAGGGGGTGGGCGGTCAGGGTCCAGTTGGGGTGGGCAGCACGGGGCCTGTGAGTGGGGTGGCGCAGCCATGCACAGTGGACTCACTCCTTCAGCTCTTGCGCGTTCCTGATGTTGGGGCTCTTCAGGTCCACGTGCTCCTGCATCTGGTTGTGGCTGTACTGCACCACGCCCGCGTGCGACTGGCCTGGCTCAAACTGCACCGTGAGGCGGGGGCGGGGAGGGGAGACGTGAGCCGGGGTCAGAGCGCGCGCCCCGCCCCCACTCTGCCCATGTGCATGCGTGCCCCTGATGGCTCCCATCCTTGTGGATATGGGAAGAAGGTTTGGGGACACGGTGCCGTGTCTCTCTGGTGGCCATGGGGGAGAGAGTTCTGCGGCCCTGCCATGAGTTGGGAGAGGCAGCAGGCCTGATGTTCCCATGCCCAGCTCCCAGTCCTAGCAGTTGCAGCGCCCCCCACCTCCTCTCAGGCACCCTGACACCGGGCTTCACTCCCTAGGGTCCAGCTTGTGGGGTGGGGGTGGCAGCAGACAACTTAATAGAGTCAGATCGGGAAGCACAGCCCTTGCCAATTGTCTTGTGGTGAGGGGGGGTGGGGGGACCGGGAAGACGGGCTAGGTCAGGATACTAACATGTATGAACCCCCAATAAATGTAGTGGCCCAGAACCTAGAGTCTGCAGAAACACCCCCTATTTTCCCAAGCCTCCTTAAATGTGCCTGCCCTCCCACCCCCACCCGGACCAGCTGTCACCTCCCCTTGCTGTGTAGGGCAGCACTGAGCACCGCAGAAAGGATGGGGCTGTCCCAGTCCATGTTCCTGGGCATACTGGCCCAGCACTGGCTGCCTTACCTTGACCAGCTCATCCCGGCTCAGCCGGTCAATGACCTTGATGATGAAGTCCTTGGCGATCTCAAAGTTCTGCAGGCCAATGCTCTCAGAGCTGTCCAGCACGAAGAGGATGTCGATGGGGCCGCACTTGCACTCTGCGGGGCAGGTGGGCAGTGGTCAGCCCTCGGCCATTCCAGCATCCTGAGCAGGAGCAGCCCTCCCCCTCCCCCAACGCTGTGGCCCAGTTCCCCATGCACCCAAGTATGTCCCCTGCTCCAGGAGAGGCAGGACCCTCTCTCTCAGCTTTGATCAGGCCCTGCTGCAGCCTGTCCCCCCAGGACCCAGCCAGGAGCCCATGAGCAAAAGGGTCAGGAGCAGGCTGATGTTGGGCTCCAGGCTGTCCCTGGGTGCTGGAGTTCCTGGGGAGGAGGACCGGTGAGCATGAGGACACTCCTGGGTGAGATTGGGGGAGGGGGTAGGCAGGTGGGTAGACAGATGCGCGGGTGGGTGAGGGAGTTCGCGGGTTGTCGGGGAAGTGGGTGAGCGGATGGGCAAGTGGGTGAGTGGGAGTGGGTGGGTGGGTTGGTGGATGCTGGGCGGACATTGGCTGCCATGCTGGTGGAACACATACTGAGACACGTGAACTGACATCCCCTCACCTACCACGGCTCTTCCACTTAAAAGGAAAAACCACCCGAGGAGTTTCCCAGTGGGTTAGGGTGTACTACTCACCACAGCAAGCTAGGGAAAAGAGGAAAAAGAGCACATGACACCACAGTTGTCACAGTCAGGGAAACTGAGGCCTCTGGGCCACATCCCAAGTCGGCCTGGACTGCCCTGGCCCTGTGGGGACTGCCCTGATGTTCAGGGGGTCTGAGCAGGCTCCCCAGGCTGCGCACAGTAATGTTATAGCTCTGACCCCACTGGAATGGAAGGGGGCTCTGCACCCCACTCCCTTGGCATGACATGGGCCTCTCCCCCCTGCTCCCCTCCCAACCCAACTCAACTCGACTCCTAGTGACCCTATAGGACAGAATAGAACTGCCCCACTGGGTTTCCAAGACTGTCACTCTTTATGGGTGTAGAAAGCCCTGCCTTTCTCCAGAGGAACGACTGGTGATTTTGAACTGCTGGTCATGTGGCTAGCAGCCCCCTGTGTGACCACTACATTTCCTACATGCTGGGGGCCGGGCATGGGTCGAAGGGGGGAGGGGAGGATGTTCTCGCCGAGGCAGACGGCTACCCAGAGCCAGTGGTACTCACAGCACATTTTCATGATGATGTCCAAAATCTCACACTCCTGCCAAGGGAAGAACGTGGGTGTCCAGTTACCCCCTCCACAACAGCCCCCCTGCAGACCTCAGGGTGGGGGTGGGAGCAGTGCATGTTCTCCCTCCTCAGGTGCTGCCTGTCTTGCCAGGACAGGCTGGTCACCCCTCCCCCTCCCCCACAGGCCCCTGGCACCACAGGCAGGGCTCCTTTAGGGCCAGACTCTGAACTGGCTCATGACCTGCAGAAGCTCCAGCTAACTGCCCTGGGTGTTCCCTTTACACCCGTATGAGCTCTGGGACACATGGGGCCTAGAGCAGCCTGCAGGGCGCCCCCATGGGAGGACACCTCCATTTCTTGGACCTCCACACTCCTTGGGCTTTCCCCCGTGGGACCCCAAAGTTCCTGGTCAGAATGGGAGCCCTGAACGACTTCCAGACAACCACTTACATCAGGTCCTGGTGGTCCTGGATGTCCTGGGGGTCCCTGTTGAAGGAAGGACAAGATAGGGGCTCTGAGGCCAGCGCTCCTTCCCTGATCCCCCTCCCCCCAGCCTGACACCCCACAGCCTGAGGATGCCCACCCTATGGGACACATCACAGGGGCCCTGGGGTCCCCACAGTGGACAACAGCCTGCCCCGTCTGAAACTGGTGATGAACCCAGACCACAGCCGGGGACAAGTGAACGCTCTCCCCGCTACTCGCCTGCTGCCCAGAACAGTCATCCGTCTCTGGAGGCCACTGACCGGCCCCTCCCCTGCTTCCACCCTCTGCTCTCTGTGCTGGACCCCTGGCTCCCTGGCTCTCCTCTCAAGCACAACCCTCCTCCCTCCTGCCCAGACGAGTCCAAGGCCTTCCCGACACATCCCCCGAACTGCTCCCCTCTGCTCCCAGGCCTCTCCCTGCACCCCGCCCCTCATTACAAGGTGCAGGGCAGAGCTGGCAGACTCACCGGAGGGCCTTCGGGGCCCCGGTAGCCCTTGGCGCCTTTGGCTCCTGGGGGTGACACTCCGTTGCTCTGGAGGAAAAGAGCAGCAAGTCAAGCCTTCCTCAGACGCTGGCTTCCCCTAGGAAGCCCCTCAGCAGCCTTGGTCACAAGGCTGCCCCAGTGGAAACCCCACACCACTCACGAGGACTACAGACCCCACCCTTTGTGCTCAGAGCAGACTGTGTTCCCACCTCCTGCTCCCACCCCGACTCCCTCTGCCCACCTCCCCCAGGACCAGCACTTACATCCTCTCCTGGGTCCCCGGCATCTCCTTCGTCCCCCTTGAGGCCAGGGTAGCCTTTCGTACCCTGTGGGGGACAGGGAGCCCACAGGTGAGCCCACAGCACTGAGAGGGGCTGTGACTTTGGGGCGGATGGTGGCCGAGCTCCCCTCCCTGAGGTGAGGCACCTGACTGAACTGAGGACAGGGTTTCTGGGGTGGGGGTTGGGAGAGGGCTTGCTGGGACCCCTGAGGGCCTTGGGGGATGGCAGTGAGTCAGGATGTGGGGCTTGTCTTGGGGCTCAGCCCCCTCAGCCCATGTCACATACATTTGTGCATGTGGGTGTACAGAGAGCAGTGGGTGTGTACTCACGTTGATCCCTGGAGGGCCTCTGTTGCCTGGATACCCCTGCAGGTGGAAAGAAAGGGCAGTCATACCAGGTTCTGACAGGGAGGTTGGGGGGGGGGTTGGGAGGAACCTCAATGCCAGATTTCTGGACTGACTGGGTCCTGGGTTTGACCCAGCCTGCCCAGGTGCCCGGCTGGCCAAGGTGACTGGCACATGCCCCACAGGGTGGACGCCATAGAGTGGATGGCTCAGCACACTTACAGGGAAGCCGGGGAAGCCCTCGGTGCCGTTTCCAGGGGGGCCATCTTCACCCTAAGGAAAGAGGAAAGAGCAGGTGGCGGGGGTCAATGGTCCCCCAGGCCCAGGGCTCCCCACCCCACCCTGTAACATTCCAGGAAAGATACTGCCAGCCCAGCCACCCTCCCCTCCCAGGCCTGCTCCCCCCAATCTGGCTGCACAGTGCTCTTGGGAGGAGAGTCACTCACCCTCTCCCCCATCAGTCCAGCATCTCCGGAGGGACCTGGGGGTCCTGGAACACCTCTGACACCCTAAAGAGAGAAGGGGATGCTCTGGGAAATGAAGCTGAATCCAGGTGGGCCTCAGACACTGCACCTCATGGGTGAAAGGTAGGTGACAGAAAGCAGAGCTTCTCACACATCAACCAGACAACGCGTAAGAAAGGTTTTAAGGAGCACAGCCGGGTGCTGGTGTGGACGCAGCAGGGCACGGTCTCCCACAAGCTGAAGGTCCTGCCCAATCATTCCACATCGGGGTTGGACAGGTGCGTGGAGATCCAGGTGGGCTACTGCAGAATTAGCTCTGCAGCTTCCCATGGACAGCTGGCCCCACAACAGGGGTGTGGAGAGACATGGTAGGAGACCAGGCCGGGGGAGGTGGGGTATGATGGGTGCCTGTCGATGATGTTCTCAAAACCCTTTACAGTTTTAAGAAAATGCTCACAATGAAGAAACAAACAAACAAACAAAACCCAAACCCATAAAGCCAAGTTTTCAGGACTCACATGCACAGGGGAAGAACTCAGAAAGAAAGAAGCCCTAGTGTTCCTATTTGTTATCTCTGGGTATAGACCTTTAGGAGATTTTAATTTTATTTAAAATGTTTTCTTATGTTTTCCAAAGCAAACTGGCTATAAGCTAAGGGAGCAGATTAATAAAAGCAGGTGGAATGGGATGGCTTCTCCCTGGGCCACAGCCCTCCCAGGGGCATCAGCTGCCACGGGGACAGAGCTGGCCATGGGCCAGGGAGGCAGGGAGGGTGAGGTGTCAGCTTCAAGAAGGGGGACAGGGCTCAGGGCTGAGCAGGGGAAGGGAGGGCGACTTACCTCGGTCCCTGGTGGCCCCTCGTCCCCTCGGTATCCTTTGGGCCCAATAGGACCAGCCTCGCCCTGGAAAGAGATGGACACACCCACTGGACCTCTGTGCTCGCAGAGGGTGAAGTGTCCCCACTCCCTGCCCAGGGTCTCTCGTTCCAGTCTTTTGTCCCATCTTGAGGTTGGCAATTCTTAAGAAGGCCTTCGTGGGCTGGCTTCTGCTCACAATCACTCCACATCCCACGTGTTTATGGTGTCCCACGAGCAGGCCAGTCCTCTCCAGTAGGATGTAGTGTACTGCAGCCCTGCCCTGATCCAGCAAGCCATCCCTGCCTCCCCACCCCAGCACTGGGAGCTTCCACACTCGATGGGACAGCCCTTACTTCTGGGAGTTCATCGGGGCCCCATTGCCCCGCCTTGGGGACATGAGAAGGAAGACAGGAGGGAGGACGTAGGGGATGGAAATCATCAGAGAATGGGAGGTACCAGGCCCTCGGGGAATGTGCCCCACCTTCCTCGCTCCTACATCTGGAAATGCACACCTCATGCCAGCCCAGCAAGGAGGGAGAGGCCTGCGTTCTGGAGCTGCCTCGGCAAAGCATGGGGATGGGTGCCACCTCGGCCCAGTCCTGGGGGCACCACCACCCCTGGTGCCAAGTCAGGGAGAGAGGGGTGGCACTAATAGCTGGAGGTGTTGTGGAGAGAAAGGCCAAGGTAGCCAAGCCTGACAGGGAAAAACAACAGGATAATTGTGATACTGTCAGCCATTATCTGGATTTCTCAACTGCTTTCTCTTGGAAGCTGAGAAAATGCATCTGCCAAGACATTG